AGCTGTTTCCTGGCCATAAGCACAAGTGCCAGTTTCACCGCCGATAATTATATATTTTAGATCGTTATACAATATATGTAATAATTAATTTACGTTTTAGATCACTATCGCTTATAGCAGGCATTTCTTTTGATACTTAAACCCTACAATGGTTTTCAAACAATTTCAAAGCTTTTGGGACAACACGAGAAGACACGTGCTTGTATTCATCGTTTTGATGCACCAACGATATCAACAAGATCTCTTTGAGTCAATAAGCGGTTGACAAGTACATGTGCTTCAATTTGTTAATGGTTTCAGCAGCAGTCAGTTGAGGCTGACGGTCTTAAATGTTTTGTACCACTTAAAAACTTGTGATTTTGATAAACTCTCATCAGTTTAACACTTTTATGACATTTTTATTCCTTTCAATTCATTTTTTTGAAAAAATTTGATGCAAAGTCTTTGTTCAACAACGCTGACAACAAGATTGTTTGAGTGGAATAAATGCTGCAATCGCTGCAGCAGGGCACGTGTCTCCGAAATTTATATCAGCTGTTCGCAACAGTTATGCGAACTTATCAAAAAAATATGTAGCGCGGGTGCTTTAAAAAAAGTGGCGTCTCATTGCTTCTTGTTCACAATAGTATTCTCTGCTATGAGAGTAGAATGATCTAGAAAGTGCATGGTATTTAAAAGCTTTCAAAGAATTGCAGAAGAAACTCCGGAGCAAGTGAAAATTAGTATTAAGTAATAGGGCAGAACTAAAAAAAGCAGTATGCGCGTTAAAATCTGAAGTGCGGTCGAGTTTTCTTATTTTTGGCCGTAATTGTAGTGCTCAGCCAGTAAAGGCGCAACACGTGGCGATTGGGCACACACCCTCTAGTCACTAGTCACGATGTTACACGAAATTTATTTTTTTATTTATTTTTTTTCGTTTGACTTTGACAATTGCAGCCAGGTGCATTCAAACTCCTTGTGACATATGATCCATGCTATGGTGTACATTGCATGTCCCCGGCTATAAAGAGTACAAAGTAATTATCTGTAAACGCTCTCCGCTGAACTGCGATTATTTTAAGGTTATCTTCCGCTATTTGTCACAAATTTAAATTTATTGATCAAGTTCACTATTTATCACAATTTAAGAAATTTTTTAAATACTTCCATTTCCCTGGATGCAAACGCAAGCGAGAAAATTCGAAGCTTCCTAAAAAGATTTCCTTGACATTTAAACGAATGCATAAAGTTAAAAATACATTTTCTCACTTTTTTGTTTTTTTGTTTTCGGTTTGTTCATTAGACGTTTACCACAAATGTATTTAATTTAGTTTCACGCATTCATACCTAATCCTATGTATACGTATGCATGTGGAGTGGAGTGTTGTGTGATAAATGTTTATGTATGTGTGCTTATGGTTGGTTTTATTTTTGAAAAATCTAAATACACACACACATGACATTTGCATCTGTCAACATATTTGGCCACTGATGGCTGCATAGAAATTTACGTAAATTAAAAGCAGTCTAGAGAAACTCTCGTAAAACGTGTATAAGTATATTTACATATGTACATGAGTGTAAGTGTGTGTACGCAGTTTCCGGTTCTCACGATGATTATGGTTGGAGTTTTTGGCCAATGTCCAGCAGTATTTGTGAAACGGTATGAAACGAATTTCTGACACCGTTACAGCGTGAGATGCCTAGAAGCGATGTATGGCTGGCTTATCCTAAGATAGAGCCATCACTTAGTCTCGTTTACTTCGTTTAGAAAGAGAAGAAACAAATATTTGTAGTTAAGAAACTTTGAGCGAAAAAATAAGAAATTGGAGGAGATGGTAAATGCAGGCTCGTGTCAAAATGATGTACAGACACCTGGCCCAGCTATTGATTCTAATAGTTTTCTATCTGATTTGTTCTGTGTGTGTGTTTTGTCAATAAATAAATAAAATAAATTATTTTCTAAAGATTTTTTACTTCTGTGTACACCTTACTTAGCATCCAGATATTCCGTTTAGCTATTACTGGCCAGATTAAAAAGCCTTGAAGACTTAGAGAGCTTTATTAACGGTACGAATATGATTCCATAATAAAAACTTCGCCTTTATTTAAACAGTCTTCATTAAAATTATTTGCTTAGGGAGCCAGACTTGTTTACAAGTTACAACCGCTTCAAGGAGTTTAAGATGCGTACTTGCTTTCTCATAAATACTATTTAATATGTTCCCTTCTACCACACTTAAGGTCAAACTTGGAACTTGTCAAAAAGTTGATTAGTGTCAGTGTTGCATGCATATATATGTACACCATGAAAAAGACTCGCTGTCAACGAATTATATGATAATTTTCTTCATAAATCTCAGTTAATAATTAAGATTTACTATGATTTGCTCTCGCCACAGATTATCTTAATTTTAGCCTAAAAAGTTGGTTAAGGATTTTGGCCATTTGATGGAGATTGCTATTACCGCAAATTATTAAATTGTACAGCGTTTAAAAACGACTAAACGACAATTCATTTATATCTCCAAAAATAAGAAATCAAAAAAAAAAAAAAAAAAAAAAACAAAGAAACAAATTGCTTTCAATATATTTGAACTAATTTATGAAAACAAACCAAGAAGAAATCAAAAAAAAAAAAAATTTTAACAACAGTTGTTAATGGTGCAAAAGTAAAGTAATAAAAGAAAAGGAAAACCGGTCCCTCTGCTTTATAACTTAATGCAAAGCAACTCTCGTAAGCAGGATAAAACTGCCAATCGTTAAATCTGAAAAATGCGCAAAAGTTACATTCGATTTTTTTTTTTTTTTTTTTTTATAAATGCACGTAAAAATAAAGACAAATAGTGAAATAAAAACGAATGCAAACAAAGGAATCAATTACGTTCAAATGCTTACATTCAAGTAAAGCAGACAGGCAGGCAGGCAGGCTTTCAGTAGTAACTTGATTTATATAAAATATATTTTTTACGAAAATAATAAAAGTCACCCCTCCCTTTATGCTATTCATCGTTGCATTAAATTGACGGTTAATTATGGTTTCCCATGTTTTGTTCCTTCAAATGCAGAGAAAACAAAATCTGTTTGCAAAGATCTTTGTTTGAGAAAAATCTCACAGTGTCGCGCGAGTTAATTGATCGTGTTCACTGTTGTCGGCCGTCATATACGCGAGCAGAGCAGCTCTTGTCTCTTATTGCCTGAGCAATAAATATGTATCAAGCATAAGTGTGGGAGCTTTAGGCTCTGTTGTCGCCGATTGTTGCTGTGTTGTCGCGTGAAAAAAAGGCCTTAAATTGCATATCTTTGTTTCGAGTCGTTAATTGAAGCGTTACATTCATTAAGCATTCTCTTCGCTGAGCTACAATGGGTGCGCACAGTTCGAAAGAAAAACTAACGCGCTCCTACTCCGAACGTTTTATACACAGTCAATCGATTGAAAGAGAACGTTTCGGCAGTTTTGGGAAGCGGACAAAAGGTGAGTACAAAAATCTAAAATAATAAACTAACATTAGATCAAGACTGTCACTTGAGTTCCGACTTTTTCCATTCACCGTTTCTTGTTTCTTTTTTACCTATCACTAATTGCTTATTTAATAATTTCAAATAATCGACTCTTATGTTGACATGAGAGCTGATGTGAAAAATGCAATACACGCACATAGCTGACCTAGCAGTATAAAAGGTTAACAAATGCATTTTGAAGCTATCAAAAATATATTTAGTTGAAAATAAATGATGGCAGGTAACAGGTTTTTAAGGTAACAGGCTATAGAAACGTAAGGATTTTACTTAGGTTGTATGGCAGCATGTGCTTTTCACAAAATTTCCTGCCTTATGTAAGCTGTTGCTCACATTTAAGATTGTCGAAGCACAACAGGCACATGTAACTTTAGTAGCGCGCGCCACTTTCTCGTCTCTTCTTTTTATCGGCTGGATACCTAATGTCCTGTTACCTATAACGTGGAAAATCTTTTGTGACAGAATATAAAACAAATGCAAACAAAAATCATAACATCACTTGTTGAGAAACTTTGGATAAAAATGTAAGCTGATCGAACATAGTAAAAGAATGTATCAAGATAATAACCCTAAGTATGCACTTAATACATACATGGTGAACAGTATTAAAAACGATCGTCTTCGGCCTCTAACTTGAACTTAAGACTACAACAGGCAGAGATGGCAGACTACTTATTCGGAATTGTAAACGCCAAAATGTTAAATTCATCGCAGGCGAACCTTCTTTCGAAAGTTAATATGCATCAACTTAAAAGAATTAAAACTTAACCCATAACATTTGCCTACTTTCATGGCGATTTGAGCAACTCTAGGGTACATAATTTTTTTTTTTTGTGAATTCACTAATGATGGGATAAGCTTTGCAGTCGTTCAGCCCATTATAGCGGAGAAAGTAGTCAATCATTGCAGTTGAATTAATTCTACCGTCAAGAGTTTACTTAAATTGGGGAATATTTGCTGCCTACTTATAAGCGTCAAAAATTTTTGAAAAACTTATTATACCTCCCTGCTGTGTTTTAAATAATTTATGCGTTCATTTTAAAAATCTAATCAGTTTCATCACATATTGCATAGAAAACGATCTAATGTTTACAATGGCATAACCGGTAGGTGATTTGCGAGATAATCTAGAATGCGAGCATGACTTTGCATAAAATGTCATGAATAATAACTGTAACCAAAGTTCACCGAACATTAACCCACAAGCTACTCAAAGAAGGAAAATGTATGCTTAAACAAAGTCGCGACGTGTAATAATGTTTTGCACTAAAATATTTCCATTAAAATCTTATTTAGTCGTAAATAAATCATAGAAATTCTTTGTAGCTGAGAGTAAATAAGTGTATATGCATTCAAGGCTAAAGTGCTTGTAAAGGCCGTTATGTTTTTGTTAATAAATGATAATGAACTAAATATGTATAAATTTCTAGTGCTTAATCATATGCACACAAACTATCGAGATACAAAAATTGATTTTCTTTGCGTTCTCCTTTGAATTGCAGGAGCTGCCAAAAAGCGTGATGTGCGAAATTTAAGTATATCACCAACAGATTTGGGTCCGCCACCTAAGACTCAACAGACGGCAAATGGTACTTCAACACGGCCTAAATCTGCTGTTATGACACTTACGCGTAAGTTAATTAATTTTCCTTAAATTTTGACAGATTTTTCGTTTTCATGTCGAGTATAACTAGCAAAGAGAATTATCATTTCCCTTAACAATGCTCTGTAAGCACCCTAACGGAGTTCTGTTAAATATTCATAAAGAAATTCTAGTTGCATTCGGAAGCCTACTCCGTCAATATGAGCAAATGTAAAATATTTTTGTGAACACCGCATGGGTCTATTTTTAACAATTTCTTGAAAGTGGGGTTATTAGTATGAGTATGGAAAAACACCCAAATTTGAGACTCTAGTGCACCCAAACTAGAAAATGTCACCAAAAGTCATCTATATCACGTAAATCTATATGAAATACCTCTCGAATGAGCAAAATATATTCAATGTTTAGTAGTAGTAGGAATTAGCGTTGCACACTATTTTGGATAAAATACTTCCAACGAGTCTTTCTATAAAAGTGTATTAGATCCAACATTTTTTAAAGTGCATACTTATATGTATAAAGTAATTATAAGAATTTTCACCTAAAAGTAGACAATAAATTTAAAAAACAAAATAAATCAATCTAGCGTTCTACTCTCTAAAAAAGCCTTTCACAGTTCTTATCTAATTTAAGAAGATTTCGCCTTATTCTTAAAAGTAAAATATTTTTTATTCAAGAGTTCTACTCTAAAAATAAATGATCGATAATACTCAATATAGTTTCAAATAAATTACACTCAAAAGTAATCAGTGCTTTACTAAACGCCTAATCGGCCTTTTAACGACACTACAAAATCAGGTTTTCGTTTGTTTTACAAGAACTTCCGACCGAATGGCAGAAATTTTCAGATTTAAAAATCGAATGGATTGATTAATAGCAACGAGATCCTATGAACTTATTGAGTAACCGACTATATATAGATCTTCTCTAAGTTTCGTTGTTCGAAATCAGGCCTTAAATATGGATGTGGTAAATAATTAAAAATTTTTTTTTGGATTACCTTTTAAATTTCTTTATATAAAGACATTTTGTAAAGGAACAAAACCCATATATTGCTATGATCGAAAAGTAAGGTGAATTTGTTTTGCAAAATAACAATCTTTACTCATCCTCTTAAATGGATTTCTTCGGCTTCAAAATACTCCACCTCCGACAGAATGCACTTATGACAACGCTTCTTTCCAATTGTTGAAACAGCCAAGAAATTCAAGAAGTCTTGCATATTTTCTTCGATTCGGATCTTCTCAATCGTTTCAAACCGTTGTTTTCAAACCGGTCAACGTTAATCAATTCTTTTTAAACACTAAATATTTAATTTCCTTGATGCGACTTTTGTCGATAGATATTGTTGATAGCCGTCCGGGACATTTTTCGCCTTGAATTTATAAGTGGTCCTCTTTGAATCCTTTGTACTACTTGCAAATATTTTTTTGCGTTGTAGCGAAATCAAGTTTTTGTTCGATGGAATCGAAAGAGATGACACAAAATGTTTACAAAAACCCGTGTAACTCCGCAGCGCTACTCATGCACTAGAAAACAAAAATACTTTCATGACTTCGTAATGACCCCGAAATGAAAACTCATCGTAATTTTTGATCGAATTTGATATCTCGGATAAAATTTTTTGTATTTTCTAACTTCACGCGCATATTGGAAAAAATAGGTAAATAATTTTACACATCTTTTAGTGAGACATTCTTAACACATTATCGCTACCTATGTATCATAGTTTTTGTGTAGGCTATTAATATATGGCTTGAGAAATCTTCAATACAGAAAAAAAACTAATGACTGGGCAATATGCATGTTCATGCAAGCCCACACATAATTGCTGATTGTTTACAACTTCTGTTCTGTTGGTGAACATCTCTTAAGATTTAATCAATGCAAGAATTACGTTGATTGAATCAATGAAGCCCACACGCATTTAAGCGTTAAATGCAAGCGGCAAAGTTAAAATGAAAACTCTACTCACATGTAATGACATGATTTTGACGAAATAAACAAAAACGTTTACCTATTCTGCGAATTTATGAGTGCATATAAAAAATCCTCTACTGAATAATATGATCATCACATAAGTTGAAAATATAAAGTAGAATCTACAACACTTTCTCAAAAAATAAGGTCATAACTATTTTGTTTATGTATTATATTTTGATTTGCTTAGTTTTTGTTACTGAGTTTCTCTAAGCTGGCCACACAGCTGTATTAAAATTAGATACGGTAAAGAAGAAAATAAGAAAAACCTGATTTTTTTTTAGAAAATGCTTAAGAAAGAGCCAGAAATGTTAATATTCTTCTGCGTTGTAAATTATTTCTATATTTTTT